AACATAGACAGAGAAAAAAAAACTTCTAGGTATAGAGATCAGTACAGTCTGGAAAACGCAGTAACTTAGGTAAGGTATCCATCTTAAGGGTGTTGATGCGTCCGAACCAGAGCAAAGCAGAAGCACCCCACAAAGCCAGATCTTTACGTAAATGTGAAAGCAGGGGCAAATAATTAAGAGAATATAAACCATTAAGATCTGAGGAAATCAAGACCCTAAAGATATGTAATGGCCTTTGGTCACTACTGAAAAGAGAAATTAGTTTGTAGGTTTGTCAACACATGGTGAGGTAAAGATATATTCAAAGCCTCCATTTTAGAGATAGAGTTTAAAGTTACTGAATAAACCAAATCTGTGAAACTTGTGGAATAGACTAGGGAGTGAGATTAGTGGATGTTGTTGTATGTAAACCAGGTCATCTGCGTATAAGGATAGTTTGTGGTGTGAGGAGGGAGTGCGGATACCCAGGATCGAGTCGTTAGCTGGTATGGCTCTCAGGAGATGTTCCATGACCAAAACAAAAAGGGGAGAGAGGGGGCAACCCTGTCTGGTCCTGTTCGATATGGGAAAGGACGAAGAAACCGTACCATTCACCAAGACAGATGCCGAAGGACGAGAATAAAGCGAGAAACAGCGAACCCAGACCTATCTACTCTAGAGTAAAGCGTTGAAAGTGATCAAAGGCCTATACAGCGTCAAATGAGAAGAGGCAAACCTTTAAGCAGTGTTGCTGGATATAAGAGAGAAGATGGATTGTTTTAGAAGTATTATCCCTAGCTTCTCGAATGGGGACAAAACCAACTTGATCATGGTGGATCAAAGTTGGTAGAAAGGGTGATAGGCGGTTCGCTAGGAGTTTTGCAAAAAGCTTAATATCTAGTTTAAGTAAGGAGATTGGGCAAGAACTTCCACAAAGAGAGGGGTCCTTACCTGGCTTAGAAATGACAGAAATATTGGCGGACAAAAAAAGCTGGAGAGGGCACATTGGAGTCGTCGATAACATTAAAAGCTAAGGCTAGAAGAAATTGAGAATAATAGCGTTCAAAGGCAGAAGAGATTCCTCTGTTGTGGTAGAGTTTAGCATCATCCGGAGAAAGTCTGCCCGAGGGCTTACCTGACCTTCAGCAGGAGGCCCTGCGTCCCGGGGAGACGAAGAGGGAACAGACGCCGGCGCCATCTTGCTGGCAAGGGGCGCCCGAGGCCTCAGCCTGGATGCAGGGAAATTAGCCTGCAAGGAGGACCGGGCCGGGAGCTATGCGGGAATGCTGCCTACAGCTCCATGTGCCAAGCCCCCATCTGATAAAGTTTAACCATATTTTGGGCAGCCTTTCCTTTTTTTCATCCAGGCCAGAATGCCTCAGTCTGCCGGAAGCTGTACAAAGAGCATGAATATAAACACAGGGAGTGGGTGTAAGGAGATATGTCTTGTCATCCATTTTGTAGAATGCCTCCATTACTAGATGTGTGAACAGTTAGAAAACGAGAGAGGAGTTACAAGCGAAACTGAGATTTTGGTGTCTGGAACTCTATTTCTACCAGGCCTGGTGGTGAAAAAAACGAGGAGAGGGGGGCTACATACATAGGCTGATTCCCATCAGTGGGTACCTCAATGGACTCCAGGAAAAGGAATTTACAGCGAGTACAAATAAAAAAAAACAATTAAAAGACACAGGAATTGGAATACTGTCCTCAGGTCCCAAAGCAGTCCAATTGGTGGTGGAAAAAAAATGTTCCAACAGATTCAATGTGAAGGCCGGGTATGGCCTGCAGTAAACGCCACATTGACAGTACAATGTCTGAATTTGAAACCAGATGGGTCCAAGACACTACCAGATCGGTAACCTACTAATACGACCAGAGGAAGGGCACAGAGTATCGTATCAACCTACTGCCCAAGATTCAGAGAGAACTGTCAAAGTGAAATGGCTCCATGCAGATGACAACACTGAACTTGAACCACTAAGTGTAATCAGCCAAATACCCATCAAAATATAGGTTAAACAATAGATTCACACGTAGGGGATAGAAAACCCATAACCTGATGACAAGAACTGGGCAAGCCCCTAAAAAGAACAGATCTCAAGAAGGAACATATGATAGGTCTAGGTGAGGATAGGTCAAGGTGAATGCCCAATCACTCTAAAGGGCAAGGCGTAAGCCCTTTACACCCATGATGCCTTGGAATCAAGGGCAAAAAAAAAAAAAAAAACAAACACTTTCTAAAGAGGTTATCTGCCCAGAGAACTAATCTCGCCAAGCCCGACTCACCAAGGACAACCCAGAATCCACTAAACCACTATAGTCTGCAAAGGGTGGTAGACAACTAAATCTACCAGAAATTCATTTAGATTCCACGTTAAAGTTAGACACCATCCTACCAAGATAGAAACAAAAAAAAAAAAAAAAAAAAAACCTAATACATCCTCTTTGGCATGGAATAGATGAAGCTGAAGACAGTCCAGGAGTCCTGCAGAAGAACCATCCTATCGCTGACCTATAGGTCTAAAGCTTTTAAAGCATCATCTACAGACAATTTTGGCTACCGAAGTTTGTCACTGTTTTACAGGTGTGCATAATTTTATGGTTTACAACTACAGGACATCTGCACTTCAAAATTTATGCTGGTAGCTTAGTTAAAGTGGAGACGTAGCTCCTGGACAGCTGCCAATGCAGAGATGGTCACCTGTTAAAAAAGGCCGACAGTAAATTCTCTATTCACACCTATAGGGAACAATGTGGCAAAGCTTACTATAGAAGGGATTTGTAGTGTAGTTCCACCGCAGCAGAGTGCTGGAGGTTGCCTATGCCTACCCTAGAGCTTTTAGGCCAAAAGAGATAGATAGATATACATACTTGATGCTGACAAAAATATGCAGCCTCACAGAACTGTGCTTTTTTTCCATGGGGCCACATATTTGCATTCCTGTCTTTGTGCTGGGAGCGCACCGCATAGCTCACTCCCAGCACAAAGACCGGGTTGTCACTGAGAGTCCCGGGTCCCGTTCTAACGATTGGGACCTGGGACTCCCGATTTTTCTCTCTATGAATGGAGTAGAGTGATACATTGTATCTCTCTAACTCCTGGCATAGAGGGGAAAAAAAAAATGTTTGTCAACCACTTGCCTACCAGGCATTTTCAACCTTTTCCTGCCAGGCCAATTTTCAGCTTTCAGCGCTGTCACACTTTGAATGACAATTGCGCGGTCATGCAACACTGTACCCATATGAAAGTTTTATCATTTTTTTTTAGACAGATAGAGCTTTCTTTTGGTGGTATTTAATCACCTATGGGTTTATTTTTTTTGCTAAAACCAAAAGCAACTGAAAATTTTGAAAAAAAAAAGTTTTTGTTTTAAAATTTTGTAAATAAGTGATTTTTCTCCTTCACTGATGTGCGCTAATGAGGCTGCAGTGATGTGCATTGACGGGCATCACTGATGGGCACTGATAGGCGGGACTGATGTGCACGGACGGGCACTGATAGGTGGCATTGATATGTGGCACTGATAGCTGGCATTGGACAGGTCGCACTGCTGGGGCTACACTGATCTGGGCATCATCAGTGCCCTGATGATCAGTGTACATGTCCCCTCTGAGGAATGCCGATTACCAGCTCTCCTCTCCTCTGTCCGCGTGACAGTTCGTGAGAAGAGAAATATCGATAACCGGCATTTCCCTATTTACATGCGATCAGCTGTGATTGGACACAGCTGATCACATGACCGAGCCGACATCTTCGGCTCTTTCCGTTGATCCACTGTGTCCGAGGGACACAGTGCACCAATCACCACGCTGTGCTCTCCCGGAGCCGTGCACGCGCGGTTAGAGTGGGAGGACATCATGTGACGTCCTCCCAGAACGAGAGAACCGCCTTGACCCTGTCACTACCTTATGTGGCGGGAGGGAGGCGGTTAAAAAAAGATTAAAAAAAGTTTGATCTAGTTCAGTGCCAGGGTAAGGGTTTGAGTCAAAGGTCAGAATTTAAAAAAAAAAATAAATTGGTATTCGTGTCAGTCAGTATGTTTTAGGTAAACAAAATGTGCACTATTGTTTCTGGGCTGTACTACGGGTACAAACAACAAATAACATACACATATATGGTATCGCTGTGATAGTCAAGAGCTGGAAAATTTATTTTGGGTTGTTCTTTGGTGGTAGTAACAAGAAACAGTTAAATTTTAAATTTTTTACTATTTTGGCCAGTTTTCCTTTGATAAAAAAAAAAAAAAAAAAATATCAGGAGATATCCATCATCATTTACCACCTAACGAAATCCCAATTTGTCCTGAAAAAAAACAAGGTATAATTCACCTGGATGTACAAAGTAGTTGTGATGATATGTAAGGTTTTACAAATACATGTCAAACGTTGCAAAATTGTGCTTAGGCATTAAGAATTGTTTTATCCTTAGTCATGAAGGAGTTAAACAGTTATTCAAACTCTGCAGCTACTTCACAAGTGTTTCTTACAGAGCAGAGATTCTCAACCAGGGATCTGTGGAACCTCCAGAAGCTGCTAGGAGTTTTTTTTTGAATAATGGCGATTAGATGTCTGTAAGTTCAGGTTCACAAACTTCAGTTTGGGTGCACCGCAATTTATGCACATTTTACACACAGTTTTAAGTGCGCTCCCAATGAGTTCTATTAGATTGCTCAGTTTCATGAAAGCACATCAAAGCCCTGCATGCTGCATCTTTGATGAGCTTTCAGAAAACACCTGGTCTAACAGATGTCAATGAGAGTGCACCTAAAGTCGCAGATACAATCATGCTGCATCCAAAACTTCAGTGCACAGGCGTGAACCTGGTCTTAGACAGCTAAAAAGATATGTCATGTTATTGACTTTGGACCTGTGTAGGCACAATTAAAGTCAATTATAGTCAATAAGGCATAATTCAAAGAAATAGCCTCCAAGGGTTGCAATTGGACTGTCATTGTAAGGGCACACAGATATACATACCAAAACAATGAGACTGAAGTTCAGTAAATTTAGTACAATACCTCAGTATGAAATTTATTGTCGCACAAGTACAAAGATGTGTTGATTGGTTTGAAAGGCTCAAAATCAATGTTTACTTTCTTCTCTTTTCCTTCTTCTGTTACAATTGTTCCACAATAAACAACTAAGCCATTTGGTGGTACTGAAAAATAAAATGAGCAGAAAATGGACCAAATGCACCATCTTAATGTTTTACAAGTAGATTATATTGTAATAAAAAGTTATAACTGTATCATGAGATCTGCCCCTAGCTCTCAAAGGAGTGCCTGGCTGGGAAGGAGAGGGGAGGGGGGAGGATTTTGTACAAATCGTTAGACCTCAACATTGGGGAACTGGAGAAAGTACAGAGAAGGGCAACCAAACTGATAAGAGGCATGAAGAAGCTCAGCTATAAGGAAAGATTAGAGGAACTGAATTTATTCTCTCATGAGAAGAGGAGCTAAGGGGGGATATGATCAACATGTATAAATACATCAGTGGTTCATATAGTGAACTCGGTACAGAGCCAGTCACCCTGAGGTCATCACAGAGGACAAGGGGGCACTCTACGTCTGGAAGGAAAATAAATTTATTCTCCAAATACAGAAAGGATTCTTCACAGTGAGAGATGTGATAATGTGGAATAGACTCCCTCAAGAGTGGTTCTGGCCAGCTCAGTGGATTGCTTTAAAAAAGGCCTGGATTCTTTCTTAGATACACAGAATATAACTGATTACTAACATTTATAGGTAAAGTTGATGCAGAGAATGTCCGATTGCCTCTTGGGGGATCAGGAAAGAATGTTTTCTCCAACAGGAGCAAATTGGATTATGCTTTGCTGGGTTGTTTGCCTTCCTCTGGATCAACTGTGGGTGTAGGATTATAACTTTTTTTTTTAATGGTTAAACTGGATGGACTTTTGTATTTTTTCAGTCAGACTAACTATGTAACTATAGGATAAGTTCATCTTTTGACAAAAAATACATGCACATTATTTTGCAGGCAAAAAAATATGCATTTATTATTTTATGTTGCAGGAGCCTGTAAAGCATTGCAGATCATCTGACAGGTCTGCAGGAGACCTGCACGACATCAGCAATCACCCACTAGCTGTCAAAGCAGGGGCAGTGCTTTCATAACATGCTACACCCCGAATATGGGTGTAAACATGTAAGGAAAGGTGGACTTAACCTTTAAGCCAATGTAAGCTATTGCATTTTTAAAAAAAGCAACTGAATTCCATCAGTTTTTTTTTTTTTTTTTAACTATCCACAGCACTAGTTTCTACACCAAACTTTATTGAAAAGTCTTGATACAATACTTACAAATATGTAAACAATTCAGGACTGAATTAAAACAGGTTTTGTTTCAGATTCCGATCTAGAGAAATCGTTTTATGGCTAAAAACACCTACTGATTTAAAAAGTTAAAAACTTACAAGAAAAACATCTGTAGCTAAGAATTTTCTTGCGAAGAATAACTGCAACGCGCAAGGCACCCTCACCTTTGTTATAGAGTTTAAGCCTCTGTTGCACAGATGTAATTGCTCCCAGTACTGAGAGGCGGTTCACACGAGACTTGATGTTTGATGCTGTACCAAACTCATCCGCCAACATCTTGGCCACCCTTGAAATTTGGTCTTTTGGAGGAATGATCAAAGAGATCATACTGGTGCCATTCCTGCAGGAATAAAAATGAAGGTGTTTGTAAGCGACAGACAACTCTATATGTTAAATCTAATTTTATGCGTCATGCACACAGAAATTTACTTAAAGTTGAACTACAATGCATCTGAGCAACACAAACCAAAAATGCTATGCAATTCATTGTGGACATTCAACGCAAATTCTCCCTTGCATCCATGTCTCTATGCTTTATATTGAAGAGAAATCCCCCTGGCATTCTGGCCATGAGCATCTTGAGTAAGGGCAGATGATTCATGTACCATTTACTTTCTGGAATTAATCTGCACTTAACCCAGGCATGCAGGCAGGCAGGAGGGTGTCCTTAGCTGAGAAAACCCCTCCTCCCTTTCTGAAGGCTCTTGGGATGTATGACACCATTTGCCTAGGCAAGAAACTAGAAAGTAACTGAAAAAATGTTTACGAGGAAAAAAAAAAAAAAGTTTAGAATAGGATATATACTTTCCAATATTTATGAATGCTAGCAGCATAAGGATTTAAAATAGCTAATGTTGATTGAAAGAGTAAAGTTCCACTTTAACCACTTGACCGCCAGAATGTTGTACCCACTTCATTTTAGCACTGCGCTACTTTAACTGGCATCTGCTTGGCAATGCAACACTGTATCCAAATGAAACTGGTATCTTCCCCCCACCGAGCTCTCTTTTATTGGTGATCACCACTGGGATTTTTTAATATAAAGAAAGAAAAAAAAACAAAACAAAAAACACAAAAAATTGTTATAAAACATCCGGAAAAAAAAAAAATCCTAACTTTCTTTATAAATTTAGGCCAAAATGTATTCTGCTGTGTCCCCATAAATAAATCCCAGTAAGTGAATATTAGTCTTTAGGAAAGTTCTAGCGTTCAGAAAATTGATCAATCCTGATGTACTGACAGCATTACTTGAGGCCCTAAAATTCCAGGACAGTACAAATTACCCCAAATGACCCCTTTTTGGAAAGCAAGCAGCCCAAGGTATTTAGCAAAAGGCATGGCAAGTTTTTTGAAGTTGTAATTTTTTGGAAAATGAATTAGTTAAATAACATTTTTCCCCACTTTTTTTTTTTTTATACATACTGTCACCAGTGCAGTACATCTGCACTATGACTGGTGTTGTGATGATCACAGATAGTGACAGTATGTAAAGATTTAAACAAAACCATACTGTCATAGTAGTTCAGCATTACGAGAGAGAGAGAGAGAGAGAGAGAGAGAGAGAGAGAGAGAGGAGAGAGGAGAGAGAGATGGAGAGAGAGAGAGAGAGGGAGGGAGGAGAGGGAGGGGGGGGAGAGGGGAGGGAGAGAGAGGGAGGGGGGGGGGAGAGGGAGAGAGGGAGGGGGGGAGGGGAGAGAGGGAGAGAGGGAGGGGGGGGGGGGAGGAGGGAGGGGGGGGGGGAGGGAGAGAGGGAGGGGGGGGGTTGAGGGGAGAGAGGGAGGGAGGGGGGGGGGAGAGGGAGAGAGGGAGGGGGGGGGGAGGGAGGAGAGGGAGGGGAGGGGGAGAGAGGGAGGGGAGGGGGAGAGAGGGAGGGGAGGGGGAGAGAGGGAGGGAGGGGGATGAGAGAGAGGGAGGGGGAGAGAGGGGGGGAGAGGGGGGAGAGAGGAGGGGAGGGGGGAGAGGGAGAGAGGGAGGGGGGGGGAGAGAGGGAGGGGGGGGGGGGGGAGGGAGAGGGAGAGAGGGGGGGGGAGAGAGGGAGAGAGGGAGAGAGGGAGAGAGGGAGAGAGGGAGGGAGGGAGGGAGGGAGAGAGGGAGGGAGAGAGGGAGGAGGGAGGGAGGGAGGGAGGGAGGGAGAGAAGAGTGGGAGAGAGGGAGGGAGAGAGGGAGGGAGGAGAGAGGGAGGGAGGATGAGGGAGGAGGGAGAGAGGGAGGGAGAGAGGGAGGGAGAGAGGGAGAGGGAGGGAGAGAGGTAGGGGAGAGAGGGGAGGGAGAGAGGAGGGGGAGAGGGAGGGATGAGAGAGAGGAGTGGGAGAGAGAGGAGGGAGAGAGAGTTTCTTTTTCTGGCGGGAGAGAGAGTGGGAGGGAGAGAGGGAGGGAGTTCTCTCTTTGGAGGGAGGGAGAGGGAGGGAGAGAGGGAGAGGCAGATTGGGATTATTAGGGATTTTTCGCTTTCTTTATCCTGCAATTGCTTATATAACCGTAATGATCACGGTTCTAGTTAATTCATGTCTTTCATGTCAGCTTGCCAACTATTGTGATGCTCTGATTGGATACAGCTAATCACGATGGTACAAGGCTGCTGTGAATGGCCTTGTACTAAGTAATCAAAAAAGTAAGCATGCTGCCATTCATGACTGTTTTCTTTACATGTTATCGGTATGATTGGCTATACTGATCACGATACTCGGACACTCACAGCGGCTGGGAACCGAGTACTGTTATCTGCTGCATACACCGGTACAGAAGTCACAAAACTGCGCCGCTGTGTGACCCAGAGGCCACACCAGTGCGCATGAGCACTGTGGTGTACAGATACATCGCCATGCCTGCTCATGCCACCAGCCAGCATTAAATGTGCTACTGCTGGTCAGCAAGTGGTTAAAACCTATGTGCAATCAAAGTCGAAAACAAAAATCAGCACAAGGAAAATTACTTAGGCTGGCCACACATTATACATGTACAGTCAGGTCCATAAATATTGGGACATCGAAACAATTCTAACATTTTTGGCTCTATACACCACCACAATGGATTTGAAATGAAACTAACAAAATGTGCTTTAACTGCAGACAGTCAGCTTTAATTTGAGGTATTTACATCCAAATCAGGCGAATGGTGTAGGAATTACAACAGTTTGCATATGTGCCTCCCACTTTGTTAAGTCTGCAGTTAAAGCACATCTTGTTCGTTTCATTTCAAATCCATTGTGGTGGTGTATAGAGCCAAAAATGTTAGAATTGTGTCGATGTCCCAATATTTATGGACCTGACTGTATATACATTTGCCAGTTATCGGCTGCACTTTCCTCACTCTGGCAAATTAATTTAGGCAGTCCAGAACAGCCCACAGAGTATCCATCAATGGCTGCCAGTCAAAATCCAGTGTCGCCTACCGGTGCCCGTCAGTGCCCATCAGTGAAGCATATTAATGCCCATCAGTGCAGCCTCATAAGCGAAGGAGAAAAATTACCCGTTTGCTAAATTTTATAACAGAAACTAAGAAAAAAAAAAAATTCCAAATTTTTGGTCTTTTTTTTCGTTTAGCAAAAACCCAGTGGTGATTAAATACCACTAAAAGAAAGCTCTATATGTCTGAAAAAAATGATAAACATTTCATGTGTGTACAGAGTTGTATAACCGCGCAACAGTCAAAGTGCGACAGCACTGAAAACTGAAAATTGGCGTGGACTGTGAACGTGCCCAGTAGGCAAGTGGTTAATAAGAACACCGGTCATGACAGAAAAATGGAATTTCTGCACATACCACAAAATTCTTCTGTTGAGAAGTTCATTAAAAAGATTAAGCTGCTTTCATTAGATGTAGGATTTAAACTGCCACATGCAAATGGACGTCTGGTGGGAAGTCCCAGTCGTATCCATGGAGCATGTGGCAAAAAAAAATAAAAACACAATAAAATGGCTGAAGTCCAAAAGGTAAATCTCACCACCACCTGCAAAGCCAGCATCCATGAAAGCAGCCTCATCCACTTTACAGAATTTAAAAATGTATCTACCAAGAACTAAGTCCCCTGCTTACACACCTGAGATGTCAGAAAAAGCATACGCTTAAAAAAAATAGTTATTTTTTAGCCTTTAGTAAACTTCCCAGGAGACCAAGAGCATATAGCACTCAGTCCTATTCCGATCTGTCCTACACCGTTTCAAATCATTATGCAAATTCTATTTAAGTGTCACAAAGATTAAATATTTTGTTTTTCAGTTTAACTCATGGATGGCATTGTGTCTCAGGGCTCTTTTAATCACTGAAAACAATCTCGGACACCTGTGATAATTAGATTGGCAGATGAGCCCAATTTTCTGAGATTGTGGATTTGGGGTTTTCATAAACTGTAAGCCATAATCATCACAATTATGACAAATCACAACTATCTTGCTTTGCATGTTATGAGTCTCATATATTAGTTGCACCTTTTAAGTTGCATTACTGAAATAAATGAACTTTTGCACTATATTCTAATTTTTCGAGTTTCACCTGTATATGCAACACCTGTGCACCCCCAAAGCAGGTAAACATGCCCTTGCAGGAGCATATACTGCAGGAAGGCCTATTTATTTTATTTCTTTACAATTTTTTTTTGTGCCCTGATGATCGGTGCCGATCCCCGCTCTGACAACTGCCGGTTCTCGGCAGTACTTTCCTCACGATCTGACAGCGTGAAGAAAGTGCAGCCGAGAACCGGCACTTGCATTTTCCTCTGATCAGCGTGTCATTGGACACCGCTGATCACGTGGTAAAGGGCCGCTGTGATTGGCCTTTTACCACATCACGTGATCAGCTGTGTCCGTAGGACACGGATCACGGAGATCGCCGGGTGCGCGCCAGCGCGTTCTGGGAGGACGTCATATGACGTCCACTCAGAACTGGCCGGCCGCAGTGCAGCCGTCATTCGGCTATCTGCGGTCAGCAGCTAGTTAATCTCCAAACATGGAAAGATTTCTTCAGAGTAAGAGCTGTGAAAATGTGGAATAGACTCCCTCAGGAGTAGGTTCTGGCCAGCTCAGTGGATTGCTTTAAAAAAGGCCTGGATTCCTTCTTGGAAACACAGACTATAAACTGGATACTAACATTTATAGGTAAAGCTGATCCAGGGAATATACGATTGCCTCTCGGGGGATAGGGAAGGAATTTTTTTCCCCTGCAGGAGCAAATTGGATCATGCTTTGTTGGGTTTTTTTTGCCTTCCTCTGGATCAACTGTGGGTGTAGGATTAGAACTTTTTTTTTTTTTTTTTTTAACCGCTTGCCGCCCTGCCACTGTGTATATATGTGTGCAGGGCGGCACTCAGGCGCAAAACCACATTTTAAAACGAGTTCCGCGCTCCCAACGTT